TTTGTTTGTTTGGTAAGAGTTTTACACCAGTTACAAAAGCTCATGGTCACATGAGCTTGCAAAGAAAGGATGAGTATAGTCCTTACTTGTGGGTGCTCTGGCGTGGTTTGCCCCTTTCTTTCCTACCAAACATCTATCATCCGTATCCCTCCTCGTTCTTTTATGCGTTTGTTACTCTCTTGGAAACCTCTAATCTTCGGCATTCATATGACCTAATAGTGTTGCAAGTGCTGTAAAACACTTACTAAAACTAAAAAAGTCCTTACCTGAAGACATTGTTTGTGAACTTGTTGTATGTGGCCACTGTGATGACGCTACCAGAGCCCAGGGACAGGGAGAAGAAGACCTGGGAGGCTGCGTCACGCCACACGTGACCTGACGTCAGTTTGGACCACTTGGGGGTAAACAGGTGGCTGGGGGAGAAATGGAAGGAAATACTCTCACAATTACAAACCATACTCGTTTTCTATCTTTTAAAATGTTTTTTTTCTTTCTTCCTTCTGCCCCAACTATCTCTCTCTCTCTCTCTCTCTCTCTCTCTCTCTCTCTCTCTCTCTCTCTCTCTCTCTCTCTCTCTCTCTCTCTCTCTCTCTCTTTCTCATCGCCGTCTATCTCTCCCTCTCCTTCTCTCTCTCTTCCTCTCTCTTTTTTTCTCTCCCCCCCTCTCTCTCTCTCTCTCTCTCTCTCTCTCGCGCGCGCGCGCGCGCGCGCGCCCTTCTAATACGGGACATGATAACTTTATTAACAAAAATAGGACGCATGGATGGAAAAGGGGAGAACAAGTTAAAAGCCTTGTTTATAAAAACTAACCCGGACATAAATTGTGTAAATATTAATACTGCTTGCCATAAATAGCTTGAACGACGCGAGATAAGGGTGTATTAGTTATTCATTTGTTATCTTCATTTATTAGGTATTGTAAAAGTCGAAGAAATCGAAAATAAAACGTTCACATCACATGGTTTTACGGGGCGGGAGGGGTGGCATGATCGGTTCATATAATATGTGAGGCAGCGTGGTGAAATCAGACGCTCGTCAAAATAATGAGTAAGAAGAAACTTGCTTTTTTTTCACACGTATGTCAATTTCTATCGAAAGGTGTTGTTTTTTTTTGGCTCAATACATTTTATGTCCATTTAATAACCCACGTCTGTGTGGATTTTTCTCAAATAGTAAATTAAATACCCCAATAAAGTAAATTGTCAGTTTCCACGGACTCTCAGGCTTTGTAAATAACCAAACTTTGACGGCCATTTTCTCGCTAATTTCACCTCAGAATCCAGGCGACCCCCACTTCCTTCAATAGCAAATATCTCAACCTGTATTCTAGAGAAAAAGCCGGGTATTTCTTTTAATGAAAGCAAGGCAAATAAACAACCTTTAAGACGATACCAATAACTCCACAAACCCAAAAATTTACGAGAGCCTGATTCCACTGTTTCATGACATATATGACTGATCCATTTTGGCCATTTACAAAATTGTCCAATATTCAGTTTCACTGTTTCCTGTGAAAGAAAACTGTTCCATTGAGGTTAGCTCGTGCGGTGCACGGTTGACCGGAGCCTATTCGTGGGAGTATCCATTCTGACGTGGGGCTTTCTGCGGGGGATCCGTTTTGACATGAGGCTCTCCGCGATATGGAGGTCTCGCTCGCTCCTTGGCTGCTCGTGACAGACGGGATTGTGTCGGGGATTGCTACATGTCCCGGCCGCATGTATGAAGAGGCCAACTATTTCCTGGCTCTCTCTCTCTCTCTCTCTCTCTCTCTCTCTCGCTCTCTCTCTCTCTCTCTTCGTGTAGCTGTCGAACGGTGTCCGTACGAGTTGTTGTGAAGGTCGATGTCTTCTTGTTGTGTGTGTTTAAAGAAACTGTCTCCCAGATTCTAAGTTGATTGCTATGAAGGTCGTTTTCTCCTTGCAAAATTATGTCTAAAAATAAAAGCTACATAATGTGAATTTCGCGAGGTCTACGTTGGTTGTTGTGAAGGTCGACGTCTTCTTTTGCAAAATGGCTAAAGAGACTAGTAATTCTCTGCGTTCGAGTTGCTATGGAGGTTGCTGCCTCCTTGCTATATCTAAAAACAAAACAAAACAAAACAAAAGAAAAGAAAAACTACTACATTTGTATCTCGGAACGTCTGACTTGGTTGCTATGAGAGTCGCTGTATCCGTTGAACATGGCTTTAGAGACTATCTCGCGGTGTCCGAGCTGTTGTGAAGGTGGATGTCTTCTTGTTGTGTGTGTTGAAAGAAACTGTCTCCCAGGTTGTAAGTTGATTGCTGTGAAGGTCGTTTTTCTCCTTGCAAATTGTCTAAAAATAAAAGCTACATGTGTATCTTGCGAGGTCTACGTTGGTTGTTGTGAAGGTCGCTGTCTCCTTGCAACATGGCTAAAGAAACTATCTCACAGCGTCTAAGTTGCTACGAAGATCGCTGCGTCCGTGCAATGATATTATGTTGCTGTGAATGTCGCTGTCTCCTTGCTATATCATCATCATCCAGTGCCAGATCTGCGACAGACATCGGCAATCATGGTTCTCCATTCATTCCGTTGCTCCCATGCTCTTAAAAAAGCTATGTTTCCCCGATCTTTCCCTGGTACCCATTTGTGTAGCATACTGACAAAATGAATTACTTCTCGGATTCAAGCTTTAAGAAAATAGATACATCACTCTTACAGGTGAAGTTTTTACAATTAATGTATAAGTATGCAATAATAAAAGACAGTTTATAGTTAAATAATATGGCATCAAGAGAAAAATCTACAAATCTGACCCTACTTTCGATTTTTGGCCGATATATCCATTTGTGGACTGCGAGAAGTAACTCATTTTTGTCAGTACGCCTCACATTTCTTATTTCACAAATTTCCGGCCCAAAAACTTCCTACAGTGAGGAAGTAGACCACTCAAGCTGATAGCTATTGAAAGTTGGGGTACTCGTTTGCTGCCCAGACTTTCTCTGAAATCTCAGAGGCGGGGCGGAGAGGAAGAAGAGTGTGGTTTCTCTTGAGAGAAATGTCTTTGGGTGTCAGTGAAGCTGAAAATTGCTGCGATACGTTCTAGAAAGGGATGTTGTGAACGATAAATAGGCCATAGAATAAGCTGGTGTCTAGCACTTTTCGAACTTAGACAACAGTGCGTCTTTGGTGGAGCTGTGGTTGGTTTGCGGGCGCCATGGTGGGGTTTGATTCTTCTATCCTATCAAACATCTATCTTCTTTATCTTCCCTTTTTTGTGTTTGTTACTCTCTTGTAACACCTCGGCACTTATATGACCTTATTGTGTTGCAAGTGCCTTAAAACCCTTACTAAAACTAAACGGTGTAGCGGTGAGGCACCTCGTCGTCGTACGCAGAAGACCCAAGTTCGATTTCCGTGAAGTGGGGATTTCTATTGAGTATCTTGGTCTTTTTATTCAGCTGGGATGGTGTATCGTATCCCTCTCAGTCCGGATTGGCATTGACAGGCAGGATCAAAGCCCGCCTCCTATTTTTTATTATGTTTTTTGGTAAGTGTTTTACGGCGCTCGCAACTTCATAAGGTCGTATGAGCGCGCGGGACACATTAAACATTTTCTATTGGTAAGAAATTTTGAATTTTGCCCGGGAGGCGGCCGAAGCCTACTCTTATCGAT